GTGAGCCCAGAGCAGTGCTAGTGGGAAATCACCCAAAGTGTCTTGCCCTGGATGGGACTGGCACTTTCGACAATAGTACATTTGTAGTCCGCTCAGATGTGGATGTCCCCGTTGGGCTTCACCAGTGTCACAATGGGGGTTTCCCAGCGGGCATGTGGAACTGGCTCTAAAACTCCTTGGGCCACTAGCCGATCAAGCTCCACGTCTATTTTAGGCTTTAATGCGAACGGGATGCGCCTTGCCTTCAGCCATATGGGCCATACCTCTGGGTTGAGCTGTAGCAAGACAGGAGGTCCGGTGTAGCGACCGAGCATCCCATCAAAGATTGCTGGAAACTCGTAGCACACCTTCTGAAAGTCTTTCGTGGCCACATGGTGTACCCCAGTCATTCAGAACCCCAGGGCGCGAACCAGGCGAGTTCTAAGAGACTCGTGCGACTGCCTCCCACCACCAGCAAGTCCAAAAGTCCATCAGAATTCCGGTACTGTACCCAGAACTTGCCCTCCCCTATTACGGACACTTCGTTCTTTTGGAAGTCCCGTAGGGTGAAACCCACAGGCCTAAGGTGAGGGGCGCACCTTGGACAGAGTCTCTTAAAAGTGTCCTCTGAAATTATGGAGATGGAGGACCCTGTGTTAAGCTCTTTTCCCTCGATAAGGACAGTCACTGTAATTTTACTGGGGGTATCCTGAGGCAAGTTCAGTACCTGCTGCTGCTGGATGGAGGTGGTGTGCAATTCCGCAGTGTGCGTGGAGGCCGGGGTTGCTGTAGGTCACCTCTGGTTTCCCTTGGCACGGCAGGCTCGGGCAATGTGGCCGACCTTCCCACAGTTCCTGCACATGGTGTCCCGGAACTGGCAGGACCTCCGCTCATGGGGCTCCCCACAGCTGGCGCATGTTGTTGATGTGGCGGTGTCGACAGCACATGGCAGTGCAGATGGGTGAGCATTGTGGCATGTGGGATGCTGGAATTGCAGGACTTATTTGTCTTCCTCCTCGAATGTGTCCATGTGGTGGGCCGCGGTGGTAGGCCTCTGCGGCGAGGGTCACTTCCATAGCCCCCTTGAATTTGGGATCGCCCTTGATGAGGAGCTTCCATTGATTCCACGCATCCCTCAGGCCGCAGACCAGCTGGTCACAAAGCGTGTCCTTGAGGTCGTGGAAGTTGCAGTGCCAGGCTATCTGTTGGAGAGCTGTACCAAAGGCTGTGACTGATTCGTTCGTGACCTGGTTCCTTGTGTGGAACGCATGGCAGGCAGTGATGATGGATGGTTTTGGAGAGAAGTGCTCCTTTAGCCGATCCAAAATTGTCTTGTACTCGGTGTCTTTTAGCTCTGCGGGAGCAATCAGTGAATGGGCAATCTCGAAGGTTGAGCGGCCGCAGACTTGGAAGAAGGTGGCACGCTTCTTTGCCACTGCCTCGATCCCAGAGGACTCGAGAAAGAACTCGAACTGGGAGAGGTAAGACTCCCAGTCTTCTGCAGTGGTGTTGAATGTGTCGAAGTGTCCTGGAGCGGCAGACATGTTCCTGGGAATGATGTGATGCATGTGGCACTGGAGCTGTGTGCGTTGCAGTGCTGGTGGGCACTGGGCTGGCTCAACAGGATCCCATCCTCGTTGCCAATGTTAAATACTGGGTTCTAGATGCATTGCAGTGATCAGCTCTGGTTTATTAAGTGATTTCAGCAAACTACAAGACAAGCTAGCAGGGCTGGAGCCCTGCTTATAAGCATGCAAAACACCACACCCAACACACACCCACTCCCAGTGATAGGCTACTTACATTACATTGCTTATCTATTGGTTCTTGGATCCAGGCGAGCTATTGTTCTAGAGAAGCAAGCTCAGCCTGATCTAGGTACAGCTAGAGGAAAGGCTTAGGCTCAATACATAACACCTGAAGAATTTCTCAAAACACGCAACTTTTGCCTGGGAGGCGTGTTTCTTTGATGCTTGCAGCATCTCTTTTCAGAAAGCAAAACAGCCAGTTTGGTGTAGTCGTTAAGTGTGCAGACTTGTTGGATCCCAAGCATTCAAAATAACTCCACGTTGAAAAGCAAGCAAGGTTTATTTCAAAGCGTTGGTTTAACCAGAACAGGACATTGTTAGGAATAACTACAGGTAACCAGGGAAGGCATAATATAGACATTTGAACCAGGTAAGGACCAATGAGCCCAGTTCCCGCTGGCGGGAATAGATCATACAATTCGCGCCCATTGCATGGGAACGCAACAGTTCTATAATGTCAACACAGGTTCAGTTCACATGCTAGATACCCAAACATTCTAGGCGAAGCTTCCCTCCTACACCCAGCCGCACAACCTTGGCGAGTTCCGCGGACTACATAACATAACTCAAGTAAACAAGGAATGAGAGGGGGGATTGGTGAAGGAAACTACACAGGAACCGGAATGACAATGGCAGCTAGCTGACAAGACTCTGATCTGGGAGAACTAGGTTTGATTCCCCACTCCTCCACTTGCAGCTGCTGGTGTGACCTTGGGTCAGTCATAAGTTCTCTCAGAGCTGTCCTCTCAAGGGCAGTTCTTGAAAGAGCTCTCTCAGCCCCACCTACCCCACAGGGTGTCTGTTGTTTGGTGTAGTGGTTAAGTGTGCGGACTCTAATTTGGGAGAACCGGGTTTGATTCCCCACTCCTCCACTTGCACCTGGCTGGATGACCTTGGGCAAGCCGTAGTTCTGATAAGAGCTGTCCTTGAAAAAGAGCAGTTTCTGTCAAGAGCTCTCTCAGCCCTACCTACCTCACAGGGTGTCTGTTGTGGGGAGGGGAAGGGAAAGGAGATTGTAAGCCACTCTGAGACACCTTCGGGTAGTGAAGGGCGGGGTATAAATCCAATCTCTTCTTCTTCTTTGTGGGGAGGGGAAGGGATTGTAAGCTGCTCTGAGACTCCTTTGGGTAGTGAAGGGCAGGGTATAAATCCAGTCTCTTCTTCAATATTGGCATTGGCGACTCCTGCATCTCTCATCAGAAAGCAAGATAGTCTACAGCACTGAATCCTGTCTGCATATTAGTTTCTGTAGCTGTGGACTTTTCTACAAGATAAATATTGTTCTTTAGGTTTTTGTTATCAATGTACTATAATTAATAAGATACACTAGGGTCTTTACTGTATATTTAAGTATATGATTTAAACAAATATATGAAGGCATAGCAGCATATCAGAATTGTGTGTTTTGTTTTAACGCAGTGTTTTTCCACGTTTACTCCACTTTGCTGTGTTTCCTGTGTGTTTGTTGAACTTCCAGGTGGTGGCTGGATATCTCGTGAGATTAACTCCATAGATACTGTTATGTATTGGGATTGAATCACCCTGACTGAATCACCCTAGAGACTGGCTGAGCTTGGAGCATAAGAACAATAGCCAACCAGGACTCTGGAATAAACCAAGTAGTAATGTTTTGTAAATAGCCTATCACCGGGAGTGTATGTTTGTGGGGTGGGGTGTTTTGCATGCATATAAGAAGGGTTCCAGCCCTGCTAGCGCTGTCTTAGAGTTAAGCTGAAATCACAATGAGCTGATCACTATACGGGTCTTGACCCAGTATATTTCAGATAGGGTGTCAGCTAGCTGCCATTTTTCATGTGTATGTGTCCTTTCCTGACTGTGGCGCTACGGCGCATGCTTGCTCGCTGGCTTTGCTTGCTTGCTGTAAACAGCGATAGGGAGGCGCTCCTGAGACTGTGCGAACTGGCACTGCCAGACTGGGTTATCTGACTAACCTTGAAGAGGAGGGAGGGCTTGCGTTCCACAGTTGGTGTGAAACTTTCTGCTCTCATGAGGCATGGAGACTCTCCCGCTCATTATGTAACCTCCCGCCGGAAGAATTCCCCCGCACGTGCTTGGATTTCATTTGCTTTTTGGACCAGACTGGAGAGCAGATATCATTAATATGTTTGAATGTACATTTCTTCCTGAGCACTCTTGTTAACATTGCATTTATTTATTTTTATTTCATTCGATTTCCTTTCCTATCCCGCTCACCCCCCCAGGGGCTCTGAGCGGCTTACAATTCTAATTAATTAACACAGTCCTAGTCTTGGGCCACATGTAAGTAGGGAGGTGAGAAGCCTTACCAGGCACCCTTTCTTCTGTAGCAGATCTTTCTTTGAGGGGACAGTCCCGGCGGCGGCCCTTCTTTCGGCGCTGGTCTTTGCACTTCCGTCCTTTCCGGCAGATGTAACTCTCTAGGCCCGGACCACTTCGCGCTTCTGCGCATGCTCCGCAGCGGCCTCTGTCCAAGTCAGGCTCCGGCCTGCCGCGTCACTCCGCCTCCGCGCCTCGTTTGTCCGGCCTCCGTTCCTGCCTGTCGCCTCACCAGCTGCCATTCTTTCCTCCGCCGCCGCATCGTTCCTTCGTTCTCCGCTTGTCCGCCATCGCCGCTACACCGGAGGTGGGTGCCCCCCTGCTCTAGTAGCAGGTCCCCATTTTATCTACTCGCCCTTTAACCGGCTTTCGAACCGCTGGGTGGACGTGAGCTGGGACATAGGGCCAGGAGCTCACCCTGGCCGCGGTGGGGATTTGAACAGCCGAAGCTGCTTGCCCAGGTTTTAAAGCAGGCTTCCCTTACTGCCTGCGCCACCGCTCCACACTTTACTTGCTGTTGAACCTGACATAGGGAAAGCAGAGCAATGGCCAAAACATGCTGCAGTCCACCAGGAAATCCTTGGCTTTGTAATGAAACTTGCTCTTCATCTAAGGAAACTCCACTTGGTCTGCAGTCACTACTTTAGCACACCTGCTATGATGAGAGTCTTAAAAAGGTCCGTTTTCCCACCCCAGCAAACACATCACTTATCCTGGCTGGGAGGGGAATCACATTTTCTGCCTAGTCCGCCTGGACATTTCTGTTTCCCCTTATGGTTTGCTTAAGGTAACCCAGCAGAAGAAAACGCCCCAAGCCAGCAGAGCGACCCCACCCCCACCCCCCTTCACCTCGCAGCGCATGAGACAAACCGGGGGCTGGGGGTGGGGGGAGGATACAGCGCGCCATGAATCACGGCAAGCGGCCAAGTTCTGAGTCGGGAGAGCCCTCCGGACCAAAACGGGACGTGTTGCGTCAGCGGGAACGGAGGGGAATCCCCTCCCGGACGAGACACTCCCCGGCCTCGCAGCGGCTCACGAGCGCCCCCGCGCGGCAGCAGGGCGGTCCTGGCGGCCTCCTCCGCGTCAGAGAGGCCTCGGAGACGTTTGGCGCCCAGCCGCGCGCTCGGAGGCTTCCTGTCCCCGCCTTGTTGCCGTAGCCGGGCTTTACCCGCCGCCGCTCCTGCTGCTCCTTGGTCCTCGGTGTGTGCCGCGCGGATCGAGCGACGCTCCCGGAGTCATGGCGGCGGCGGCCTCCGTGTCCCCTCGCCCAGGCGCTGACCGACGGCGCCACTGGCGGAGCGCGGAAGCGGGCCGAGGGAGGCTGGAGGACGACGGCGTCCAGACCCTCACTTCGGTCGAGCAGGTGAGGCGAGGAGACGCCGCCCCTCCTCCTCCTCCTCGGCGCGGGGACTACAAATCCCGTCGTGCACAGCGCGAGCGGGTGGGTTTTCGCCAGGCTGGTCGGGGTCTCTCTGGACGGGGGGGGCGGGGGGGGGAGCCTCCCGCGTGGCCGCAAGCCGGGTCGTACGGGCACGTCGGTCTGTAGGAGGTGAGGAGGGCCGCCTCCTTCCCTTCCCTTCCTCCTCCCTGCAGCTTCCGAGGAACTTGATCCACCCTGTAGGACCAAGGCCACGTCTTTGTGTTTGCAAAAAAGAGTGGTGCAGTGGTTAAGTGTGTTTAAGTGCGCGGACTCTAATCTGGGAGAACCGGGTTTGATTCCCCACTCCTCCACTTGCACCTGCTGGTATGACCTTGGGTCAGTCACAAGCTCTGGCACAGCTGTCCTTGAAAAAGAGCAGTTTGTGTCAGAGTTCTCTCAGCCCCACCCACCTCCCAGGGTGTCTGTTGTGGGGAGGGGGAGGGAAAGGAGTTTGTAAGCCGCTCTGAGACTCCAAGTGAAGGGCAAGGGGGTATAAATCCAATCTCTTCTTCTTCTTCTTAACGACGGCTAAATACACCCGAAAGTTCACTGCTCCATCTGTGTCCTTTTCGTAAAATGTATGGTTTTAAATGTGTCTTCGACACCTTTATTTTATTTTAAACTGGACGTGGTGCTACGCAAAATGTTGTTTTTCTGACCTGTGTGTGTGTGAGAGAAGTGCTTTCAGGTTGCTTCCAACTTTAGGGTGACCCTATAAATGTAAAAGGTAAAGGTTCCCTTGCTCGAAAGCCAGTTGAATCCAACTCTAGGGTTGCCTCCCGGACTTCTGTCCACAGGGCATGGCTTCCTCGCCTCCCCGCTCCTGCAGCTGCCCGGAATGTCCCCTCAAAGTCGGGGGGGTCAGGGAACACCCCCCCCAGTAATGTCATGAAGAGGAAGTCAGACGTCTGCAGCAGGAAAAGGGAATCAGCAGAAATCACACGCCCCGTTTTGTGTGTGTGCATGTGAAGTGCCCTCCAGTCACTTCCAACTTATGGTGACCCTATGAATTAGTGACCTCCCAAATGACCTATTGTTAGCAGCCTCACTCAGGTCTTGCAAAGGGAGGGCCCCTGTGGCTTCCTTGATTGAGTCCATCCATCTCATGTTGGGTCTTCCTCTTTCCCTGCTGCCTTCCACTTTTCCTGGCATGATTGTCTTTTCCAGTGACTCGTTTTTCTCATAGTGTGACCAAAGTACAATAGTCCTCGTTTAGTCCTTTTAGCTTCTAGATGTTAAACTTGGGTCCTCATTTGCCAAGTATGTTCTCTTTTCCCTACCTGTAGTCATCATGTATTGGGGCCTTGGGGGGGGGGGGCAGATGCTGCGTGTGAGTGAGAGAGTGGGCATTGCTTCGCTTAGCTGCTTCGTGTAACTACTTTCTCAGGAGGCCTCCTAGTTGGGAAGAACGTGAATGATCTTGAACGCTTGTCTCTGTTAGCTAGCCTGTGAGAGATACTGTAGGTTTGCGTGTGTGTGTGTGTGTGTGAGGGAAGAAGTGCGCCCTTGATTTAGGCGGGCTGAGTGGATGGCTTGATTGGATGGATCACTGGGGGGGGGGCTGTTTGAATTAGGTATAATATCAGGACTGGCACCAAACTCATCAGTTCTCACCCAGACGAGCTCAGCTTGACACGTATTCATATCTGAGTAAACAAATCAATACAAGAGAGTGTTGTTGAGAGTGAGTCTGAGTCTGACACTAGGGAGAGTTCAGGCTTGATATGGTCTGGAGCCCACTTGTTTGTCTTTTTGGTGGTGTCTGATCTCCGTAAAACTCTCCTCCAACATCACATTCCAAATGAATCAGACTTCTTCACTGTCTAGCTTTCACACCCATACATGCTAATGGGGAATACTATGGTATGAATTATCTTGCTCTTGGTCAGCAGCAACACATCCTTACCTTTAAAAATCTTTTCTCGCTCCTTCATGGCTCTGCCCTTCCCAGTCCGAATCTTCTGATTTCTCGATTGCGATCTCCCTTTTGGTTGATGATGGAGCTGAGGGACAGAAGATCTATAACAATTTCAATTTCTTCCTATTCAACCTTAAAGCTGTGTAATTCCCAGTAGTCATTACTTTTGTCTTCTTGATTTATTTATTTATCGTATGGCAAAATTATGCTCAGAAAACATACAGTGATATAAAATGTGTAACCAAGTTGATACAAGTATACAGACAGGTTGAATGACACTAAATACTAATATCTACATTTTTCTGACACTAGGGAGAGTTCAGGCTTGATATGGTCTGGAGCCCACTTGTTTGTCTTTTTGGTGGTGTCTGATCTCCGTAAAACTCTCCTCCAACATCACATTCCAAATGAATCAGACTTCTTCACTGTCTAGCTTTCACACCCATACATGCTAATGGGGAATACTATGGTATGAATTATCTTGCTCTTGGTCAGCAGCAACACATCCTTACCTTTAAAAATCTTTTCTAGCTCCTTCATGGCTCTGCCCTTCCCAGTCCGAATCTTCTGATTTCTCGATTGCGATCTCCCTTTTGGTTGATGATGGAGCTGAGGGACAGAAGATCTATAACAATTTCAATTTCTTCCTATTCAACCTTAAAGCTGTGTAATTCCCAGTAGTCATTACTTTTGTCTTCTTGATTTATTTATTTATCGTATGGCAAAATTATGCTCAGAAAACATACAGTGATATAAAATGTGTAACCAAGTTGATACAAGTATACAGACAGGTTGAATGACACTAAATACTAATATCTACATTTTTGATCCACTCAATTGCAGCTGGGGAAAGTTCAAAGAACTCCATCACATCTCCTTGGAAAGCACGTTAACTCTCATTCCTGTGACAGATGAAAAATACTTTGGCGAGCTTCACCACAATAGCATTTGGGCCTTGGTATTTTGACCCATTTAAACAACAGGTCTGTACAACTGCCAAAACCTGTTCATATTCTCTTAGTCATCTTCCATACTTCACATGACACGTCAAATCCTGTGGAGGCCATTGGTGTTTATCAAGCCATGGATATTGGGTTGAACGGATTGCATCCATGTTCACGACTATTCATTCCTTAGATTGATATTTTGTAATTGCAGGATTTGTGCAGAACTTATTGCTGGGTGTCAGGACCTTAGTCTGGGTAAGCCCACGTTGGCCATGTCTTTGTGAATCAGCAGCTCCCTGTTTTCAGTGATCCCGTCTTTGAAGATGTGGAGGAGCGATATAGCACAGCAATAGTAACCAATAGGTCAGAATGGGTTTAATGCGTCCACTGATGGTTCTCATTGTTGTATTAAGTTGGACATCAAGTGTGTGGACAGGGGTCCGTTGAGCCACACTGAAGCGACGTATTCCGCAATACTATAACCAACCCCAAAGCTGAACATCTGGGTGTCATAGCAGATGTGCCCCAAGTTGTGCCACCTAATTTTTGGAGGAAGTTGTTTCGCATGGATATTTTTGCTGCTACATTGCTAAGATGGTGTTTATAGCTCAGGGTCCTGTCCAGGGTAACGGCAAGGTACTTAGGTGTACGATTATGTGTAAGTTGGGTGCCATTAAGGTAGACATTCAGTTCACGGTTGGCAAGATTGTTATTAAGATGAAAACAGGAGTATTCTGTTTTTCCTGGACTTGGAATGAGCTGCCATTTACGATATTAATCAGCCAAAGTTTGGAGGTCCCTAGTCAATATTTCCTTAGTCCTTTCAGTTGATTTGTGCCTCACTGCAATCACCATATCATTGGTATAAGCAAGCTTCCTGGATATTGTCTCAAGGACATCAAAGAGAACTGGAGCAAGGAGCAAGCCCTGGGGTAAACCGTTATTCAGTTTCTTCTGCTTGCTAATTGACCTGTAATTACTTGGGAAGTTCTATCACTCAGCATGTCATTTAAGAGTCAAAATAATGTTCTGCAGGGGAAAACATGTACGAACTTGTACAGCAGACCATCCCTCCGGACTGTGTCATAAGCAGCAGTCAGATTGATGAAAACTGCTGATGTTTTAAGAAACTTCTGATACCTTGCCTCAGTTGAAAGTTGTTAAACCGAGAACCTGATCTTCACAACTGTGATGGGACATGGTTGTTAATTCTACTCTATAGGGACATGTTCATTAATTCTGTTATTGATTCTGTTCAAGATTAAGCTTTCAAGGAGTTTACCACAGGCGCTCAAGAGGGAAATAGGTCAGTAACTTTCCGCCAGGTGTTTTGGTTTTCCAGGTTTCAGAATAGCAACTATCTTTGCTTTCTTGAATTCCCCTGGGAGTCTTCCTGTTCTCGTGATGTCAGTGAGTAACTTTGCAAGCCATTTCTTAGTGAGTGTGCTGCTGTTGATCAATAATTCATTATGGATACACTCAATTTGTTTATTAATGATTTGGAGTTGGGAGTAAGCAGTGAAGTGGCTAAATTTGCAGATGACATGAAGTTGTTCAGGGTGGTGACAACCAGGAAGGATTGTGAGGCACTCCAAAGGGATCTGTCAAGGATGGGCGAGTGGGCGTCAACGTGGCAAATGGAATTCAATGAGGTCAAGTGCAAAGTAATACATACTGGAGCAAAAAATCCTAACTATAAATGCACGTTGATGGGGTCTGAACTGGCAGAGACTGAACAAGAGAGAGATCTTGGAGTCGTAGTAGATAACTCAATGAAAATGTCAAGACAGTGTGTGACTGCAATAAAAAAGGCCAGCGCTATGCTGGGGATTTTTAGGAAAGGAACTGAAAACAAATCAGCCAGTATCATAATGCCCCTGTATAAATCCATGGTACATCCTCATTTGGAGTACTGTGTACAGTTCTGATCACCACACTTCAAAAAGGATATTATAGCATTGGAAAAAGTGCAGAAAAGGGCAACTAGAATGATAAAAGGGTTGGGACACTTTCCCTATGAAGAAAGGTTAAAGCGCTTGGGGCTCTTTAGCTTGGAGAAATGATGGCTGAGGGGTGAC